TTTTAAATAGTTATACTACCAGATTTTTGTTTAAGAATATAATAACCTGTTGGTACTTTTAAATGAAAATTGTAGCTTATTAAACATTTTTATCTTTATTATATTAGAATCAATCTTTTCTATGGGAGGTTGTTCAAATAATACAAAGATACAATTGAATGAAATGTATTACATGTATATTTATCATCAATTGCTCAATTATTTTTTATTTTTTACATCAACAACATATGTGTATATATATAGTTTTCTTCATGTAATGCCCTCGATAACTCAATCACTGCCATTTATGGCTATTGTGTGATAAGATATGTTAAAAATATCATCATTCACGGGCAAGTTGCAGTCCCATCCCATGTTATGTGTCATTCAGTATAAGCTTTTATGATATAATGAATTTTAATTACTAATTTCATTGTCATGTACGTTGCAGTATTAGTTAGATTGTTCTACACTCCTTTTTAAGGATTTACACATTAATGAAGCTTTTGAAAAGTGTAATAGATTTGCATATGACACGTGGGTGACGAGCAACACAAAATTATAATATTTAGTAAGGTAGTTTAAAAATAATTTAGTTCAATTGTCGATAGTTTAAATTTTTTTTTTAAGAATCATAAGTTTAGTTCAATTGTGAGGGGTTTAAAATTATTAACTTTAAATTGTAAATAATAATTGATTTGTCAGTAGAATAGTTTTTGATAATTTTACATTATGAATGATATAGTTTTGAACTGTGAGTAGTGTACTTTTAATTCTAAATTATTCTTATATATATAGGGTTCAAAGAAAAAATGCTCTAAAAGTTTTTAAAAAAGAGCATTGAATATTTCTATCTTTTAATTGGAGTGATGTTGCTCCAAAAGTGTTAAAAATGGAGAAATTTTTTTCTTTTATTAATTTTTACTAACCTTTAACTGTTAAATATTGCTTTTTGACCAAAAATGCTAACGTGTAACCTTCTTATCTTCCCCTCTCTCCTCAGCGTGCTCTACCTCTCTCTTTCTCCAATTCCACTGCACCATTTCACTCCAAAACTCCTCCTCTGATTTTTCTTCCTCTTCCTTTTCCTCTTTCTCCAACTCCGGCCTTGCTCCCCACTCCTTTGAGACTTGCTGATAAGCTCAAGTAGCTGCACAATGGAGGCTTTAGCTTCATCAGGGTCCCCAGCAAAACCCATCAATCTAATCCCAATCTTTATTGAGTTCAACCTAGCCTCTGCTTCTTCCTTTTCAAATCCTACAGGATGATGGGACCCTTACATCCATGAATTTTCTATCCCAAGGGCCCTCACATCCATGAATTTGGTGAGTTTTCGTTAGTGTTTTCATCTTTGATTTTAGTGGGAGGTTTTTTTTTTTTTTTTGATCTTTGCATGGTGGATATAATTGTTTTATTCTCTAAATCTAGCTGATTTTCAAGCCCTAACTTATTTTGGATCGCTTTGCTCTGAATCTGGCTAATTTACTTTAGATTTATTTATTTTTCTTAGTTTTTGGAAAATTTCCTCTAGTGAGGAAGGAAAATGGGAGGAAGAAAATTATGATTATAGGTGTTTTTTTAGTTGTGTTTCAAGAAGACCAATTTTGGAGAGAAACGTCGTGCGTTTTTGAGAGCTTAAGGGAGGGATTGGAGAAGAATTCTTCGGAGTTGACAAAGGAGAATGTTGATGAAGACACGAAAAAACCATCTCAAAATGACACTCTTCATCAAAGCTAAACCCACCATAACCAGCAGAAGAAGCCTTCTTTGCATTTTTTATTCTTCTTGGTCAACGAATTATGTAGAGATGAATCAATTTTTGGGTTATAATTTGATTTCAAAACCCATGTTAGTATTGCCGCTTCTCATAACTTTGGATGAAGGAGAAGAGTTCTTTTTGTCTTTTTGTAATTTTTTTTAAATGTCATGTGGCAAACAAAATGTAATAAACGGTCAACAAATTGTCAATTGCAATAAGATAATATTGCACCCTTTTTAACGCTTCCGGACAATATTATTCCAACTAAAAGGCAAAAGTATTAAGTGCTCTTTTAAGAAAACTTCTACCACATGTTTGCTTGTTAACCTTGTATATATATGTTTGTGTTTGTATTGCAAGGGGTTGCTGAAAAGTAACCCCCCATTTTTTTAAAAAACTAGCAATATATGATAGTTATTGCCATAACCGTCTTATATGATCTTAGAAATAGAATTAAAAATAAGGGTCGGGTTTGGAGGTTCTATTTAACTAAGTGTTTTGGAGTTAAAAATTAAATTTTTCTTAAAGTAATCGGGCTTGATAGTTTAACCCTAATAAACCTTGTGAAAAAAGACTTGGATCCAGGCAACCCTTCAAGCCATGTTATCTTTTATATATATATATATATATACATACATATATTTGACTGATAATAACATAATTTGGTTAATACTTATTGTAGGTGATGAAAAACAAGTTGTAAAGATAATTGACATTAAATTTGCATCTATATCTTCAACAATTGAACCTACATCTAAAGGATCTAATATTTTATTTTTAAATGATAATGACAAAGATTTCAATTTACATTAATAAAGATTTTAATCTTTATCTTAAATTCTAAATTATAAATTTTTGTCAAATTTTATGTTGAATTTCATATAAGATTTTAATTTGTTTTATATTGAGTTTTAAAATATTCTATTTAAATTATTTTTTTAAAAAAGAGGGCTTAAGGGCCTAATCTTGAGTTTTATAAATAAGAGTCGAGTCTTAAAAATAGATCAAATTTTGAATAACCAGGCTTTGAAGCCTGAGTCCTTAGGGGCCAAGTTCGGCCCTGATTCCCACCTCTGCGCTAAGGTGGTGTACTCCCCAGGCCGTGACCACTTCACAGCAACCCAGCCGGCTTTTTCCGTGGTAGTACACGGATTATCCCCGCACCCACTGCGCTAAGGGACCTCCCCAGGTTCGATCCCGCAACCTCTCCTACATAGCGAAGTTGGGGCTGAACCTGATACCATTGAGTCGTTTTATATTTGGTTCAATCTAAAATTTCATATATTTGTTTCTTCAATAAAGGACGCTTGGATAGAGGATGGTTCTATGGTAAAAATAACCATTCTCTATGACCAATTTTGTTGTAGTGTAATTTTTTCACATGTGTTTTTTACATTTACACAGACTAAAACGTGAGACATCATGTTTAAATAGTCATAGGCTCTTTTACTACATGCATATGTGACCAAATATTAATTTATCACTTATACTCCCTTTATTTTAAATTATAGAATATTTTTAAGAGAAATTTATTGTCCAAAAATATAAGACACTTTAAAAAGATTAATATTTTATTAAATATACTTATTTTAACATTACCCTTTCTCTATCTATTTAATAATAATTAAGTGTAAATTTAAGGTTATTAAATAAAGAGTATTTTTAAAGTTTATATTTTTATTTTTTAAAAAATAAAATTATTAAGTGTGTTTAATAATGTTTATTAGTATATAAAATTTTATTTAAAAGTATTTGATAATTTGAGACGGAGGACGTACATGATTTCTCAAACTAAGTAATTCAATACGAAGATATTAAGATTTTTTTCGGGGCAAGCCTCTAAAAACCGAACTAAAAGAGAATCAATATATTAAGAATCGGTAAAACCAGACAAAACTATTTCTTTTCCCCAGGGGAAAGTCTCTTTCAATGGAACAATGCAGCAGGAAAAGCAACCCAGTGTGTGAAATGCGCCCCCTCTGGCCCTTTTTACGTCCTTCCCACTTGACGATGATGTGGGACTAATACTCTTTTCTTACCCTCCCATTCTACCCCTTTCTCCCTATTAATCGCTCATCTCCTGACTTGTGTGTGTGTAATCAGCCACGTATTATTCGACTTTCTTTCCTATCAGCTTTAATTATACATATTCTGTTTATTTAAAAATATAAAATATTTTTGGAGAGATTAAATTTTTAAAAATATAAAGTATTTTTTATTTTTTAAAATATAATCACTGTTTTTTTAATATCCCTACTTAATAAATTATTTTATATTTATTTTATCATAAAATACTCTATTAAATATGAATAAATATAAAAAAAATTAATTTAAAAATAAATAATTACTTTATTGAAGTGAAATTTGATTAAAAATATTTTATATTTTTAAATAAATAGAGTATATATCAAAGGAAAGCCACGGCATGAAATCTTTGAACAAGTTATGATTCTCGTAAGCTTACTTTTGATGAGATTTGGACCGTTTAGCTTTATTTGGGTGTCTAGATTTAAACTTCATAACTTATTTTTTGTTTTTTTAGAAAAATCATTTTTGGGCAGTGTAAATTAAAATATTAGCTTTATTTTTATATTATATTTATGAAAATAAAAATTTATAAAAATTATAAAATTTTTAATATTAAATCTTAACCATCCAAAATAAATATGGACATTTAATTTATAAATATTTTTAATATTTAATTTGGATTGTATTGTTCATATTATTCATTAAAAACTTTTATAATTTCTATTTTAACAAAGATAATTCCCTAATTTTTTTTTGGTCAGAAGATAATTCCCTAATTGATAGTTGATACTCTCTAAAAAATAATTTTCAACTAAAATATAAATTAAAAATTTTAAATTAGAACATTCAATATCTCTTCACAGGTGAATTGCCACACTAGATTCCTTGCACGTTGCATTTGCATGGTTCCTCCAAAAAGTACAAACACCCCTGATATATAATGATCACATGAAATTCTGCCTTGAAAATCAGATTCCAAAATCACACACACCTCAAACTCAAAGTCTCAAACATACGTGATCCCTAATCTATGTTCATTCATGATAGCCCGGAACGAGAGAAAGAAATTAATCTGGCAACATAAAATTAAAGAAGGAAAGCCATATATACTGAAACAGCAAATAAACAAACTCACTCAAAATACCAGCATCCGCCATCTCCTAAATTCCTGCCTAAACAACATTAATTAAGAAGTTAAACCCAATTAAAGTTAATTCCTGGCTGTTCAAAACAATTAATAATGCCCCACATCGCTGCTGGTCGGAACCATGGAAGAACTATCACCACTGATGCTTGCATTCAAAGTATCCCATTCCCATGTCTGGTCAATCCCAAACGTGTCGTCGCTCATCAACACAGAGAGATACAGAGACTCCGCCGTCGTCACCGGCGGCGATGGTAAATCGATCAGCTGAGTTTTCTTCTTCTCCTTCTCCGCCGCGGCCATCACATTCTGCCTCAACTCTTCAATGCGCTCCTTGAACTGCACTACTTCCTCCAAACCCATCTCCCCAACCGAACGATTCCACCAGAACTCGGATCCGTAGCCCGACCCGAGAATCCCAGAATTCAGAGATTTCTTCTCCTCCTCAAACACTTTCATGGCCTCCTCGTATTCCCGCCTCAGTGGCGACATCGCTGATTCTCTTTCCGGACCTTGGACCGACGTAGGGTCTGAGGATAAGGAGGAGGTACCGGAGAGGTAGCGGCGGATGACGGCATCGGGGTCGGGGTAGCCGGAGGTGTAGACCTTGCCGAATTGAGAGAAGACGACGACGGCGATTTGGGAGTCACAGAGGAGGGATAGTTCGGCGGCTTTGCGGAAGAGGCCTAATTTGCGTTTCGAGAATGTGACAAAACGCTTACTGGTTTGTTCCACTTTCTTGATCTCGATCTTGCGCCTTCCTTTCCCAGGCTTTCTGGTTGTTTTCGGTGAAGAAGATGAAGCCATTGCGACCCAACAGAGCGACGGAGAGAGAATAGCTGAAGGAGGAAGAAGGAAACGAGGACAGAGGAATTGAAGTTTTGAGTTGTATAAATATGTTGAGGGCTCCGAACTCCGAAGCGAGCAGAGGATGCATTTTTTTATTCATAATTATTGATTTTTTATTTATAAAAATTTACACGCGAAATTAGAAACTCCAGAGGGATGACAAAACTTCATAGGATGCTAATCAATCCGGTCAGAAGTTTCCTCTTTTCTTTCACATACTTGATGCTCATCCTTGATTATTTGAAATTAATAAGATTTAGTTTTGATTTAATTTTGACTATAACAGGAATTTCAACTTTCTTGATCATATGATTACTTGCCCACAAAGTTACACACACACACACAGTCACACTACACAGTTAGTGTAGCATCTCGCTTAAAGACTGTAGTTAACATTAACACCAATAATTTATCCACTTAGCCTCGTCAAAGCTAAATTAAAGAGAGGGAAAAAGACAAGATTCATTTGCTGTTATGCATTGAAAAAATATCAGAGTAAAAAGGCGTGTGAAATTTATTTCTTTTACATTTCCTCGTTTTTTATTTTCCAATGTATTATATCAATAATTTATGAATTTAAAAATTCAAATTTAATTCCATATGTGTATTGGGATTTATATTCTGAATTAATTTCTATAGATCCATGATTCAAAAATGATTATTTATTTAAATTTTCAATACCATAAATAACTTTACAAAAATAGAAGTTGATGTTGTCTATTAATCATACTGTTCTAAACAGAAGTAACATAAGTAAACTTGAAAGGTGCTAACACGTTTATTTAAATTATTTATTTTTTACGTGTTACACTACTATAAAAAAGAAAACATATGACACCTAAAAAATGATAGTTATTTGAAAAAGTGTCATTTTAAGTTGATGAAGATAGAGGAAATATGGGCCAACTCAACTCATGTGTGTTGGCTCATATGGGTTGGATTGAGTTTTACTCATATTTATATGAGTTAATAAAATTTCAACCTTTGGCTAACTCGTAAACTCATTTATTTATCTTTTAAATTTATTCTTTTATAATTTTTTTTAAAATACAACTAAGTAATAAGTTCTAATTTGATATTTTTTCATTATTCATTCTAAATATATTAAAATATTAATTTTTTATATTTGTACAAAATATATAAATTGATCCAATTAAATAAGTCATGCCTAATATAATTTATATTCATAAAATTTTTCTCCTTTTTCTTTTTTTATTTTTTTAAAAAATAATATGGGTTAAATAAATCAATCCTAACCCATCATGATTAACTTATATGGCCGGGGCTAAAAAAAATTTATTTTTATTTGGATCAATTTTTTTCAACTTAACTTGACCTTTATAACTGATTATTCAGATCAACCCACATAACAGCCAAATATTCTTTTTAGTCAGTGTTTAAGAGGATGGGATGTTAGATTGTATTTAATTGGCCCTGTTTTTCATTAAGTGCATCAGGATAATTTTAGTCCCAAATGTATATCTTCTTAACATGTAAGATTCTGTATGAAGTAAATAAAGAAAATTTCAGAGTTAAATAATATAAAAAGTTTAAGAGTTTTTTAGTAGTTTCTTGGCTACCAAAGACTTTCGATGTAGGATATGGCTTTAACTTCATTCTTTACCATATCCTACGTTTAAATTTTAATTATGAGAGTTAAACGTGAGTCGCTTGTTTTCAGAAGTTTCTTCCCCTTTCCCTTTAATAGATGAGTTGAGATCTTTATCGACTGTATTAAAAGGGTTAATGCTCTTCTGAACGAGTCATCATTGGAATAAAAAAATTCTGAACGCTAATCTTTCCATAAATTAACATGTCCAGTCCCCACTAGTGGGAGTGTGTATGTATGATATTTGATGTGTCCATCACCGTTGGCGTTAAATAGTATATAGGTGAGTAGTGATGTGTGTGTGTGTGTGTGTGTGTGTGTGTGTGTGTGTGTATTGCTTGCTCTCTTTGTTGAACTCATGGCAAGTAAGGCATGTTTAGCTATCTCTCCTCAATTTTTTCTGTCTTTTTCTCATTTGGCTCCGTTTGAAATCTGAAGTGGCGGACCCAGGACACTAAGTTATGAAGTGCAAAATAATTTAATACAAAATTAATTTTTTAAAAAATAATTATTATGCTAGACTAAAATTATAAAAATATAAATAGTTTTATTATCATTTTTAATTTTAAAAAAAAATTATATTGAACAGATTAATATGATTTATTATAAATATGCTCTTTATATTTTATCATGATCATAAAAAATATTATATATTTAAGAATTTTTTGAGCCTGAATATTTTACATTTAATTTAGAGGGTGTAAAGTATTAAGAATAAGGGGTGCAAATGTGTAAATTTTATATGTCTCACTTGTAATTTTTTTTTAAAATGACGGGTGCATTTGCACTAACTCTTACTCTTTACTAGCCTTATTTATTTATTTACCAAAACTAGCCTCATTTAATTTAGGTTGCTTATTTTTGAGCTCTCTTTGTCGTGATCATGATAAGTTTCTATTAAACGTTACAGATGGACTGTGGTCACTTGTTCTCCTGATCCTTTTGTCACATCCTCGTTAGTCAAGCTTGAACATTCAACATCCTGTTTGTCTATTTGCTCATTTTCTCTCTGTATTGATTCTATTTTTTTTTTTTATTGTTACAGCAGGCTTATCTTCTCGATCAATATGCATACAATATGGCAGGGAGAGTGGCTTGAACTATGTTGCCTCTTCGAGAAATTGAAGATCTCTTAAATTTTCTCAAGAATTATTATTTAAAAACTGTTTATTAATAGATTCTCTTTTAGAATTTAAAGAATTTAAAGGATAATATTTTTTGTATGGTGAATTCTCAAGTGATTGATATCTTTTCAATTGTATGAGGTTTATGTATAATATATTTGATTTTTTAATCTCATGAATGTAATATTTTTTATTTTATATGATTAAAATGTGCATGAAAGTGTATATTAAAACTAAAATTGATAGACAATTAATAAATTATAACCACATAATATAGGAAATCTTGTTAAATTTTCAAATGCTGATATTTGATGGTTATTTCAAATAACCATCATATAAGTAGGCAATGCATATTTGATGGTTATGTCAACTAACCATCAAATAAGCTTATGCTTATTTAATGTTTAAATAATCGTCAATTAAAGGGTATCTCTATAAATGATGGCTCTATATATGATAGTTAATAATCATTATATATAGGGTAAAATAACTGTCAAATATTTTTTTTTGTTGTATTAATTTGTTGATTATATATAGGGATGTTCAATCTGGACCCGTCCCGATTGGCCCGGTATCGTCCCGATCATATCGGGACGGGTCTTGTCCCGGCCCGAAAATAATTGGAACGGGACTTTACGGGACGGGACAGGAAAGGGATTCGGGACGGGACGGGACACGGGATTACCATCGGGACGTCCCGTCCCGTCTCAAATATTATATATATTATTTTTTATTTTAAATATATTAAATATATTAATATAATTTATACTTATATTAATTATATCAATTATAATTTTAATACTTACAATTCTTATTTAAAACTAAAGTATTTTTATATTGATAATTTTAATGGTATGGAGTAAACATGGCGATATCTTTTTTATAATATATTAATTATATTAATATAATTTATTCTTATATCTATCTATTTAATAACTTTTATTTATAACATACTTCTTGCTTATTTTTAGAAGAGTAATTAGCTTAGTATATCTTCACTAAAGTAGAAGAACAATGATTTGATGTTGTATTTGACTTGCCTGTTGTTGCTAATTTTATAGCATAAAGATCACTTGTATTTTTTATTATAATATGTAGTTGTGATTAAAATAATTCAATAATTAATTTTAAATTATTGTTATTTATGTACTTGTGTTATTTTGATTTTAAACTTAATAAATTATATAATTTAAAATTTTAATGAACATTATTATCCAGATTTTTTTTCGATATTATTTCATTTATCGGGACGGCGGGACGTCCCTATCCCGTCCCGACTCTTAATGGGACTGGACGACTTTCGGGACGGGACGGGACACGGGACCAAAATTCAGTCCCGATCTTTTTTTTGGGACGGGACACGGGACGAGGGTGTCCCGGTCCCGTCCCGTCCCGTGAACACCCCTAATTATATACATGATTTATATATGTTTGCATCTTCATGTCTCTTAAGCAAAAAAAAAAAAAACTCTTTGCATTTTAAAGAAGCATGTATTTATAAATTAATAATAAATTGATCCTCATCCAATTAATTTATACTTTTTTTTTTTTAACAAATGAAAACAAACTACTAACTGCTAGCAGGACAAAATTCAATCAGCACATAACGGTCTTCTGCAAGGCGACCCAAGCAAATTTGGCGGCGAGTGCTGAATCACCAAAAAAAGGTCTTCTACATGGTATTTTATAATGTATAAATTCTACATTGTATATATGGGAACTTTTACAGATATAACATATATTATAGAATCAAACCAAACAAATCATTTATCATATTTTAAATTATGATTAATTTATTATATTTATTAATGATATACTGTTGTGTACCAACTATGTTCCTAAATTTTTGAAAATTTAATCTGTATATTTTAGTTACAAGATTTTTTTTTTACCAATGAACTAATTTATCCGTATATATGTATGTATCAATTATTGTCTTGATTTTTTGCCAAAAAATTTGTCATGAAAATTGTGAGTATCTTGGCTAATGACTTGATTAATGACTACCCTACGTTGGACCAAAAAACAAAAAGAAAGAAAATACAAAACAGTCATTGGGCTTTCTGGTACCAGCCCAATTAGATGTTTGATGGACTTTGAAAAAAAAAAACGTGTTATGGATCCTAATGAGTTTTATGAACATGGATTGTGTAGATTAATACTAGTTTCAGTAATTCGAATCAAACCCAAACCCACCTGACAAAGCTAGGGTTAGATTTTTCTATATGAATTTTTTTAAAAAAATA